ATATATATATATATATATATATATATATATATATATATATATATATATATATATATATATATATATATATATATATATATATATATATATATATATATATATATATATATATATATAAAGTCCAAAATCCGGACTGCTTGGGATTGGGTGGGTCCGGATTTTCCGGTTCTCAGGCAGTACTTTTAAAATTAAAATTTGAGGAGGAATAAAGAAGGGGTGAACAGGTACATTTTGATAGTTTATTCATTAGCAAATATAGCATGCTTCATTTATCCAAAACGAGCAGTTTTAATGAAAAAGCTGTGAATTCTAGAATTTTATTCTTTGCCTTTTTATATCATAAATGTAGACTTTCAATGTCGTATGTTTCCATTAGAACAGTATTGCTCACACCAATTACTAGTTTCTTAATTATTTCAAGTTTGTCACTCAATTTCAACGTGTTCTTCTTTCTCTTCACACAAGTTTATCTACTTTAGGAGCCATTATTATGGGCTTGTACAGTAATCTGTAAATGGAAAAGTAGGACTCAAAATATTGTTATATACAATGGTATTCTATTCATACTGTGCTTGATATAATGCATTCACGGAAATGTAATATTTTTGCTAAAATGACGTACGTATTACAGTGGAAAGGTGGGATAAAATCGTGACGAAAACAATGACTTTCGCTTTCTTCGTTCAAAAGATGTTACTGTAATCGCTTTCGAATGGTTTAGTTAAACAACTGTTGTATTACAATAATATTCCTCCTAATTGGCTTGAATAAATACTTGAATGAAATCTACAATATTTTTTGTTGAAACTACGGCGTTTCAGTGTAAAGTGTCGTAATAATAAATGGTAAACACTTTGCCTTCGTGTTTCAGTTTATAGGGCGTAGAGCGTTTTACTGAACGTTTTGTTGTTCCTTACCTAAAATGTGGGTGAACTATAAGCGAGGAATATCATAAATTACGATTTCTTGGTCAAAAATCAGAATTGACCGATAAGCGAGGGGTTATAGATGAGTACTGTATTTACTGGTATGTTGTCACAGTTTGATTGCTCGTTTTAAAGGTGGCGTGCGTGGTCGCTTGTTGTCGCTGTGCAGCTGTGGCTCACTCACCTGCGACATACACACAAAAGCCGCTAAAAAATAAAAAATAATAATAATAATATATATATATATATATATATATATATATATATATATATATATATATATATATATATATATATATATATATATATATATATATTTCGTAAATCACAATGAAAACGTGGATAAGATAAATCTTGATAAAATCACGGGAAGATGGAATTGCCTTAGCTTCGTCTTTATTCAAGACATCTTCAGATGTGCTTGAATAAGCAGCAAATATATATATATATATATATATATGTATATATGAGCTTTCTTCAGATGTCTTGAATAGGCAGCCTAAGGTATATATATATATATATATATATATATATATATATATATATATATATATATATATATATATATATATATATATATATATATATATATATATATATATATATATATATATATATATTTCGTGGCCCAGCCATACATGATACTTCACCTCAGCCAGATTGCACAGGCCCATGACTGTGACCAGGGGGCTACCTACTGGACCACCAGGATACAGCCTAGACTCTGTTATATTTCACACAAAGCCTGTTCACTGAGCTTGTGGGCGCGTGAACCTCTAATGGGGACTACCGCATCACGTGGGTGGTCAGAGTAACGTTTTACCAAATCTGGCTTGAAACACGAGGATCCATATATATTTCATTAGCCCAAAAAAGCCACGCGGACTTCTACATACAATCAACACCTCAACCCGCCAGGATTCAGACCCGGCCCCGAGCCCATGACTGTGACCGAGGGCGCGCTACCTACTGGACCACCAGGATACAAGCAGTCCTAGACTCTGTTATATTTCACACAAAGCCTGTTCAAGCGGCTTATGGCGTGAACCTCTAATGGGTACCACCGTGCAGGTGATTAGAAGCAACGTTTTCAAATCGGCGAACACGAGGATCATATATATTTCATTAGCCCAATAAAACAGCGTGGACTTCTACATATAATCAACACCTCACCCCGCCAGGATTCAGACCCATGATCTTATAATTGTGACCGGGGAGCTATCTCTGGGCCACCAGGACACTAAAAGCAGTTTTAGACTTTGTTATATTTCACACAAAGGCCTGTTCAACGAGCTTAGGCGCCGTGAACCTCTAATAGGGGACACCCGTGCAGCTAGGTGATTAAAACGTTTTGCAATCCGGCTAAACACGAGGATCCATATATATTTCATTATGTCATGCATTAGACTTCTACATATAATCAACACCTCACCCAGGATTGAACCCATGATCTTATAATTGTGACGAGGCAGCTATCTCTGGGCCACCAGGACACTAAAAGCAGTTCTGACTCTGTTATATTTCACACAAAGACTGTTCAACGAGCTTATGGCGCCGTGAACCTTACCCTCTGACCTGACTGGCGACCGTGCGTTGCTTTTTAAAGATTAGTAGGGTCATTACCTATTACCTGACCATTGTGGACCTGATCTCACAGTCCTCCCTTGGTTTGTACTTCTCCTTAGTTTGTACTCACCTCTGAAGATGTGAATTACACAGCTCTTGGGAACTTGGTGTTTTTCTTTCTAGTGGTTATCAGCATTTACCTGGATCCAGTTCAGTGATTTTATATATATATATATATATATATATATATATATATATATATATATATATATATATATATATATATATATATATATATATATATATATATATATATATATATATATACCCCATAGCAGCGGTCAGTGAACCCAGAGATTACAAGTGATCATGTTCAGTGAACACAGCATATGGGATTAATTCAATTAAACCTGGCCGATCCCAAACTCCACTTTTGAAAGGCACATACCTGTGTTTGGTAGTAAAAAATAACATCTTAATTTTATGATGGTACATGCACACAATTAATACTTAAGAGAAATAGAAATACAGTCGCCAAGTTAATGTCCATTCAAATAATGGACTCACTTCTCTCCCTCTCCCACTACACAGCCGGCTAACAGATGTTCGGTCGGTCCCTCCCTCCCCCACCCCCACCAACCGTCCCAGAGATGTGTGGGATAACCTCAAACTAAAGTTAGGAAAATATAATTGACATTGCTGGATTCCTTGTAAGACCAGGAATATTTTGAATATAAATGTCTGTATTTTGCACAAAAAGATAACATAATAGTTACCTAGAGAGAAAAATTTTGATCTAAAATTGTAAGTTTAAAGCAAAATATATGATGTTTATATTCAAAATGATCATCAAATTATAAAATTCCAGCAATGTAAATTATATTCTGACTGGGTAATTTGTATGAATTTTATGAGCTAAAACAAATATCTTCAGTTAATAAAAAAAAAAATCTTCACGACACTATTTGTCAATCAAAGTACCCCATCCTCTCTCCCCTCTTCCAACTTGGCGGTCCAGTACCCTTCCCCCACCCCCACCAATCCTCCTTCCAGAGTTTTTAACATTTAGTATTAAATAATACCTCAGATTAAAGTAGGATAATATAATTGACATTGCTGGATTCCTTGTAAGACCAGGAATATTTTGAATATAAATGTCATATATTTTGCACAAAAGATACCATAGTTACCTAGAGAAAATTTTTATCTAAAATTGTAAGTTTAAAGCAAAATATATGATGTTTATATTCAAAATGATCCTAAATTATGATTCCAGCAATGTAAATTATATTCTGACGGGTAATTTGTATGAATTTTATGAGCTAAAACAAATATCTTCAGTTAATAAAAAAAATAATTCTTCACAGGGTAACAGATGGTCAGTTGGTCCTCCCTCCCCCACCCCCACCAACAGTCCCAAGGAGATGTATTAGGATAACACAATAAATAATACCTCAAACTAAGTTAGGATAATATAATTATTGCTGGATTCCTTGTGGACCAGGAATATTTTTTGAATATAAATGTCATATATTTTGCACAAAAAGATCACATAGTTACCTAGAGAAAAATTTTAATCTAAAAATTGTATGTCTAATGCAAAATATATGATGTTTATATTCAAAATAATCACAAATTATAAGAATTCCAGCAATGTAAATTATATTCTGAACCTAATAATTTATGAATTTTATGAGCTAAAACAGGCGATTCAGGCAGGGTGGCGGGGTGGGGCAAATCTAAAGCGTCTCGGACACTCACGCGTATATGTGGAAAAAAATCCGTGTTAAGTGAAAGTTCAGCTCTGGCGAGGCACGCGTATGTAATCGCAGCGTTAAAGTGAAACAGGTTAGGCGGGAGTATACCTGTATATTCCCGACTGCGACTGCTGGACTTCGTTCGTCGGGACTTCGACCGCCTCAGTTGTGACCATTTTTTTTTTTGCAAATGACACGGCATTTCTATACTAAACGTTTCCAGTTAATGTGGTCTCCATGTATAATTAGAAAATTATAGGGGCCCCATGTGCATTCAGCTGACTACAGTAAAGGTAAGTGCTCAGTCACACTGTATCCACTCCTCAATATTTATTACTTTTACTGTACTGTATCCATTCTTCATTATTTATTACTTTTACTGTACAGTATTTCATTGAAGATTTTTCATTTAAAAATTGAAAAAATTTTTGATTTTTTTTTTCATCTATGTCGGACTTACGACCATTCCGACTTATGACCTGGATTTGGGTCCCTAAATCTACACGGGGAAAGTGGAAACAACATGTGATTTTATCAAGATTTATCTTATCCACGTTTTCATTGTGGATCGTGTGTGTGTGTGTGTGTGTGTGTGTGTGTGTGTGTGTGTGTGTGTGTGTGTGTGTGTGTGTGTGTGTGTGTGTGTGTGTGTGCTAGCGTGCGTGCGTGCGACATTGTACATATATTTTAAGACACATCCTGTAAAACTAAGTTTATGCTGGAAAATTAATGCTTTAGTAACTTTTCAAGTGACTGTTCCTCAGCTTGCAGTCATTACCTTTGTGGGAATTCTTGGAGGTGTTTACATCTGGAAGCCTCTGCTTATCAAGTTCAAGACTGAAACGTCCAGTAGTGTAATTGCAGAGTCTTCTAAGTGAATCAATAGCTACTGATATAACTGTTTGTATTTACCAGTATCAAGAAGTGCTAACATCCAAGGATGTCATCAGTTAAATTCCTCTCTGACAGGTGCCTTAGTAACTACTGCTTCCTTTGTCATTGGGTGAGTCTTTTGGATTCTTAAGTGATGTTTCCTAACAACATAGACGTACAGTAGAGGCAGGTCAAGGATTTTATGAAGGGTGGTTGTATTTTAGGTAAACGGAAATAAAGTAAAAGGACAAAATAACAGAAAAAAGCCACCATTTTGGCTTGGAAAATTTTCACATCTTCTTTAAATACAATTAACAAGTAAAGTAATAAGACCAAACACAATTTATGGCAGTTGTTAATTGACAGTATGTGGGGAATACCCCAGTTATTGCAAGGGGTGCATTCTAAAAAGTAATTACGATTAATGAAACTGCAAATATTGGGGCAATCTTCCCCATAAGAATGAATGTAAATGGGGGAGGGGGGAATTCATTCCCAACCATTAAAACCAGACTAATTAGTTCAACAATATATTCAATTTTTATGAAAGAAATCCACGTTTTTAATCAAAATTAATTGTAAAAAGTAATGTTCACAAAGCACTGTACACTTACCCCAAAATATGGAAGGCAGATCCTGCTAGACATGTCTGTGAGTGCAAGAGGCTTGCAGTCAATCTGAGTCTAAGTCAGAAATGAGGATATGAAGAGGAACTTTCTCTGAGGGTAAGGAGGCACTGCTGGAGGTCATATGCTTAACCTTCTCACCTCCCCTACAGACACCAAACACTCTCTTAGGGGACATGGTTATTGTCTAATTTTTCAATAAAAATGCAAAAAATATGAATGTTACTTCAGCCTACAACATATTAGATGGGTCAATACAGTATATAGTTTGACCCTAAATTAAAAAATTTTTTTGGTGGTTTTAGATTTATTGAGGGGTTTTATAACACAAAATCTATCAAAGTCAACCCATTAGGAAGTGGCAAAATTAGGTTATTGCAAAATGGCTGCTTTTGAACATCTTTCTGCCAAATATACCTCCAGAATAGTGTACAATTGCCCTCTAACATGTACAAATGTACAGTAAAACTTTTGTATTTGAAATTGGATAGATGTACATTTTTAGAAGTACAGTGATTATCAATGATACTTGTAAATAATATCTCCATTAGCCAGAATCCCTAAAACCCGGAACTCTCCGATAGCTGGAATTGAAATTTTCTCGGAAAATCATTCCCTAAGCTGGAATTTTTTAAAATTCCGGCTTTGAAACGATTTTCCTAGGAGCGTATTGCGACGGAAAATTCTGAGAAAATTTTTGCCGATACCCGGAAAATTCCGGGGATGGGAAGTTTTTCTGGGTTTGAGAGATGAAAATCAGGCGCATTTTCTGGAAAATTCTGGGGATGGGGGATATTTTTCTGGGTTCGAGAGGTGATGTAATGGGCAATTTCTGGAACTTCCGAGAATATTTTTCCGTTACTTGGAAAATTCCGGGGATGAGGGATTTTTTCCGGCTTTGACAGAGTAAACCGTTACCCAGAAATCTCATTCCATGAAGTGCTCTGCATCAATTGTTCCGGCTAATGGAGATATCACTGTACAAGTTGAAAAATAACCTCTGTGAGTGCTAACTGTGGCTCTTCAGGATCTCAGCAACGGACCTTATTTTTTCCCCATAAGGTCCCTAACCCCATCGTACAACATTCAGCAACTGTGGGTTACCCATGCTCTGTGGCTGGATGCAGTCCTACAGGGTTGTTCGACCACCAATAAGTACTTTATACAAACTGACTTTCATGCCATATTAAGCTGAAAAGGTGTTTTTTCATGAACCTGAATGTAAGCTACAATCCTCTTTTTGACAGATTCAACATTGCATTATATATACAGTCAACCCTCACTTTCTGCGGTTAATGTAACCCACAGGGTGCCGCGGAAAGTGAGGACATAAAGTGAATAACATAACATATGGGATTAATTGAAATAGAGTGGGCGACCCCAAACTCCACTTTTGTGACACACAACTATGTTGTAGTAAAAATATTATCTTAACTTGATGATGGTATGCACAAACAATTAATAATTAAGAGAAATATCAATAATATTAGGTTTCTACTACACATTAGTAGAAAAGATGGCTGGGCACATGAGGATGGGCGGTTGTATCAATTGTATCACTATACCATAGAGGCTTGCAGGGCCTCTTTGTCAAACACCTCAAAGTCCATATAAGTCCATATCTTCACTATAATTATCACTATCACTGACTTGGGCGGCTGTGGTGGGTGGTGGGTGAAGAACTCGGTAATGTTTTGATGACTGGAAGGCATATGCGCACCATGCTCATATAACACAACATAATTGGATGGGGGGAGGTTTGAATAAAAAAATGGCGGCTATTTAGCCGCTCTCGTAAAAGGTACGCACTGCAGAATGTGAGCATTCCTGTTTGACGGAGTGCAGCGTGGAAGCAGCGGAATGTGGGACTGCGTAAAGCGAGGGTTGACTGTATTGCTCAATAATTGTAATTATCTCCTTTCAGGTACAAGTGGTTTGTCGGCCCAATTCTGCACAGGAATAAGCAAATGAGGTAAAAAAGAAATTGCTGATGTTATATATGAATTTAGGTATGGCCATCAGAACCAAGAACAGGCAGTTTTTCCCTCTCCTTCATCTACTGAGACAGTGAAGCATGATGCAGAAACTTAGAAGTCTATGTAAAAAGTTTGTAAATATTTTAAAACTTAAAATAAAATAAACTAATTTTTTTTATATACCCCCGTATATTTAATGCAGCAATCTCCACATTAGATGGAATAATTGGTGTAGTGTGGTTCTAGGTTTGAGAGATTTCTGGACAACAATACAAGTTTTCTCATCCCTAGAAAAATTACACATTCCTGGAATTTTTTCAGGCACTGGTAATGTTTCAATGCTGGATTGCAGTTAGACAGACACAGAGCTGTATTTATGCAAACACTACTGTACACATGCAAGCACTATTATACATACAGTATACAGTATTGTAGATAAATGTATACTACAGGTTGAACCCCAATTTAAGGGCATCCATGTTAGATCGAAGTATGGGGGGGGGGGTTACCAAGATTATCGTATTTGTCATAATACTTTAGAAACGTTTCAGAGATGGTGTTGATATTTATATTGAGTAAGTATTTTTTAATAACAACTAATAAATTTTATCAAATAATTGTTATCTCTATGTATAATTCAAGTCTGAGTATGTAAATAAACACATAAACATGTACTTCCCATGGAATGTGAATCACTCAGGATATAGTTTACCTAGTAAAACTGTTTTTTCTAATACTGTACAGAACAAAGGTAAAATTACAATACTGTACTCTAAGGTGGCTTAGAAATAAAGAAAATATAAAATAAAACCACAAAATAATAAAACTGAGATACATGGGTGTGTATGTGTGGGGAGTGAACATGTGTGTGGAGGCACTGAGCTGTAACTGCCTGTCTGTGTCTTGACACACACACACACACACATATATATGTACGTACATCTGAGACAGCTGCTAACTGCTCAGTTGATCTGTGTTCAATTACTGTACAGTACTGTATTCGTTTGTTTTCTGTTCACTTTTTACACCATGCCTTGGCTGCCACATAAAATAATCCATTTATAATTACAGTACTCAGCAAACAAAAGTATTTTATAAATGTACTGTACAATCAAAGACAAAAGTCGTGTTGCTGTTTTGTCCGAAGATTAAATATACAAATAAATTGCAGTATAAGTTGACATTTTAAGCTTGGAAAAATCTCCAAATCCAGGGGTCAACTTATACTCCAAGTATGAATATGAAGCTGTACCACATAGTGGTAAACAAGTGGAAGCCTGCCTAACACTCGCTGTGCATCCTTGGCGTAACTCCCGGTGGCTGCCGCTAATATTTCTACTGAAATTCATGTTTGGTAAACTTATTTAACATAGAGATTACAATAATACCCTTTACACGTTTTTTTTAGCAGCGTTCTACATTTCAGCGGTACTCTGCTGAACTGGTCACTTAAATTCCCTTTCATGATTTATACTCATATCTTGTGGTGAAGTATAATTTTTTTTTAGCTCATAAAATTCAACAAATTACTGGCCAGAATATAATTTATAGCTGGAATTCTTAAATTTGATGATCATTTGAATATAACATCATAGATTTTGTATTAGAAATACAAATTTTAGATCTAATGCAAGTATTTTGTTTACTCAGAGCAAATATGTTATCTTTTGTGCAAAAATATGGATGTGTATATTCAAAATATTCCTGGTCTTGCAAGAATCCGCAATGTCAATTATATTATCCTAACTTTAGTCTGAGGTATTATTTATTACTAAAAATGTAAAATATATAACTCACAAACATTTCTCTAGTGAGGGAGTGGGGGGTGAGGGTAGGGAGGGAGGGACCCAGGAGCAGGTGGGGAAGAGGTGGGTATTTTTGATTGACAGATAGTATTTGGGTAAGTATATTTTGTTTATTTATTGAAGTTATTTGTTTTGCTCATAAAATTCATACAAATTACCTGGCCAGAATATAATTTATATTGCTGGAATTCTTACAATTTGATGATCATTTTGAATATAAACATCATAGATTTTGCATTAGACATACAAATTTTAGATCTACTGTAAGTATTTTGTTTACTCAGAGCAAATATGTTATCTTGTTTGCAAATATATATATTCAAAATATTCCTGGTCTTGCAAGGAATCCAGCAATGTGAACTATATTATCCTAACTTTAGTCTTGAGGTATTATTTATTAAATGTTGAGGTCATTATTTGAATGGACATTAACTTGGCGACTGTATTTCTCTATTTCTCTTAAATATTAATTGTGTGTGCGTACCATCATAAAATTAGGATGTTATTTTTACTAGAACATAGGTATTGTGTCGGGAAAAGGTGGAGTTTGGCGGTCGTTCTGGTCTCTATTTCAATTAATCCCATATGTTATGTTGTTCACTTTATGCATTTCTCCTTTTTGCCTTTGGTGTTTCATCCATATTACCAATCTGACACTGTGGGTAGTTGTGTTCCTTCCTCAGTCCAATGACACATCTATGGAAATTTATAATTTTGTCTTCGAGGTCAGCTGGGAGTTTCTGCAATTTTAGTTTTCTGCCTCAAAACAAAATTTTTCTCTTCACGGTTTAACTACACCAGTTCACAGTTGCTTTAAAATTTTTGCTTTCATCTGGGTGTGTATTGGCCCACTTATGCACATGGGTGCGTATGTCAGTTCGTTGTAGTCATCTTGACGGCTTTCGTTGATCCAACCTTCTAAATAATTTTCCAGTTCATGCCAGTGACAGAGGCCGGTCCTTACAGCACATTTTTTCTGTATCTTCTTCAGGGAGGCTTCACTTTTCTTCCAATCATTCACCATCTTTTCATTTACTCCATAATTCCTCGCTGCAGCACTGTTGTTTGAAAGTTTGCAAACACAACAACTTTCAGCATGAAACTTGCGCTACATTTCATCCTTTTTGCTGGGGGAGCCATGGGGATAAGATATTTTCAACTGTTGTCAGGTTGGTGTGTGGGTAATGAGTGGATGCCAGCAAGAACATTAAGCCACAATGGTTTAGTAAATTACCATGTAGGCGTTCAGTGTGTTACTGCCACAGTAAAATAAACTGGAAGAGAGAGAGAAAGGGAGAGAGGAGAGAGAGACAGTGTTGAGAACGAACTTTGCTGAGGTGTTAAATGTGCCCTCCGGCCACATGTTAAGTGAAGAAACTGTTTACAATTCAGAGTAGCTTACTAAGTGAGATGGAGCTGGTAGCAGCCGTGTGACTGTCTATTTCCTTCTACTGTAAAGGTAACATCTAGACTCGTCGGCCAATATCACCAGCAGGACATTATATTTGTTCTCGTTGATCTAACCCTAGACCCCAAAATGTGAGTGTGATTGTGAACTGTTGAATCCTCTGAGAACTCTAAATAACTTTAATAAGTGTAATTATGTACTGTACTGTATATTGATGGTATTATTCAAACTGTGTCCTGATGTACCAGCAGTTGTTATATGTGAATTGTATTCAACAGGTTTTGACCGAATTATACTTATCGCATCAACGACAAGGGTCTTATTGTCCTGCACAAACCAAATTCGCTCCTTTGAGCGATTACAGTCAAAACGTGGGTCCTACAGTCTGCTGATACAGTCTACTGAAAACTGACGAGTGACGTCGACGGACCTTCAGCGGGGCCCTTTTCCCTCCTGCACCTGACACACCCCAGGGCTATGCAGGAGCAGGAGTCGTCCGGCCCTTTGTGTGAATTTGGAATTGAATTGAATTGAAACAATTTATTTAGCCATAAAACACAGATACTGAAGATAATAATAACAATATAACATGGCTGAGCCAGTTGAGAACCTGAGCCTTTTAAGGAACCTGATATATACTATACATTTATCTATAATATATTAATAGTTAACCCCAGCTAAAAAGGGGTTGTGGGTTGAATACGTGTTTCACACGCATAGCACTCGTATACAGTTTGTACGTAGAGAAATGTGATGCCACTGTAGGTGGGTCCCGTGTCAGCCATTGTCAGAAAGGACTGGTCTTGGTGCCAAAATTGTTTTACGGCTGCGGGAGTGTTATCGTTCATGTGGACTGCATGTTAGGAAAGAGAGTGGACTCTGTGTCAATAATGTTCGTGCAGACACGCGGGAGAGATAGTGATCAAAGCGTACAGACAATTAGGTATGGGCGCTGCAGTAGTGTTTGTGACATCAGTTGTGTATTGAGTCCCTACATTGATTGTGGGGTCTCTGTGGTCGTGTTAAGTGTTACATCACTGCGCGTATGGCACGTCACATATTTGAGGGATATTACACGTGAGTGTGTCACGTGCGTGCATGGTACTGTTTGTGTGAAGTCACTGCGTGCAGACTGCTGTTTGTGTGAAATCACTCGTGAGTATGGCACTGTTTGTGTAATTATCTGCGGCGGCACCGCGTGACATCACTTGTGCATAGCGGTACACTTGAGTAAAATACCATGCGTATGGCACTGTTTGTGTGAAATCACTCGTGAGTATGGCACTGTTTGTGTGACGTCATTCGTGTGTATGGCACTGCGTGACGTCACTCGTGTGTATGGCACATATGTGTGAAATCACTCGTGAGTATGGCACTGTTTGTGTGACGTCATTCGTGTGTATGGCACTGCGTGACGTCACTCGTGCGTATGGCACATATGTGTGAAGTCACTCTTGCGTATGGCACTGTTTGTGTGATGTCATTCGTGTGTATGGCACTGCGTGACATCACTCGTGCTTATGGCACATATGTGTGAAGTCACTCTTGCGCATGGCACTGTTTGTGTGACATCATTTGTGTGTATGGCACTGAGTGACGTCACTCGTGCTTATGGCACACGTGAGTGTGTTACTCGTGCATATGGCACTGTGTGACGTCACTCGTGCGTATGGCACGAGTCTGTGTGACATCTCCAATTGTGTGATATCAGTGATCGTGGGACGTCACAATGAGTAGTAGCTGATACTAAGCGTTGCTGCATACATTTATTGAGCAAGACAGATCATGCTCGTTGTTCTGGCAGTCATGGACATGGAAGGGAATGAGTAAAAAATGAGACACTCGCGTCACACCCACCCCGCCAAGGCAGCGTGAGATACATTTAAAGAGCTGTACAGTACACAAATTAGGAGCTATTTATTATTTTAACAATAGATGGGAGTGTGCTATTC